CCAGGAAGTACCAATATGTAGTGATGGACCACCAGGAAGTACCAATATGTAGTGATGTACCACCAGGAAGTACCAATATGTAGTGATGGACCACCAGGAAGTACCAATATGTAGTGATGGACCACCAGGAAGTACCAATATGTAGTGATGGATCACTAGGAAGTACCAATATGTAGTGATGGATCACCAGGAAGTACCAATATGAAGTGATGGACCACCAGGAAGTACCAATATGTAGTGATGGACCACCAGGAAGTACCAATATGTAGTGATGGACCACCAGGAAGTACCGGTATGTAGTGAGGGACCACCAGGAAGTACCAATATGTAGTGATGGACCACCAGGAAGTAGCAAAGAGGAGGGGAATTAAGAGGAAGATGAGGAGGAAGAAGAAGGAGGTGAGGCCGACACAGAAGACAAATTACAGAAAATGGAAATGAAGGAGACTAGGGAATTGTTATTCATACTAAAATTAATAGACTTACATCTCAACGTCTAATCATTAGACGTTGAGATGTAAGTCTGGTCCTGATCACACACTCAGACCTCGACAAACCACTCATGAGAGTACGAAAGATTTTGTGTAAATTCCTTATATAAATTTCACATATACACAAGCGTGGATTTTTATCGTATGTTATTATGTCTGTGAGAAGACATTAACATTATTAATACAATTAATAACAACGGGAAGGTTGTTAATAATATATATATATATATATATATATATATATATATATATATATATATATATATATATATATATATATATGTATGTCGTACCTAGTAGCCAGAACGCACTTCTCGGCCTACTATACAAGGCCAGATTTGCCTAATAAGCCAAGTTTTCATGAATTAATTGTTTTTCGACTACCTAACCTACCTAACCTAACCTAACTTTTTCTGCTACCTAACCTAACCTAACCTATAAAGATAGGTTAGGTTAGGTTAGGTAGGGTTGGTTAGGTTTGGTCATATATCTACGTTAATTTTAAACTCCAATAAAAAAAATTGATCTCATATATAATTAAATGGGCAGCTTTATCATTTCATAAGAAAAAAATTAGAGAAAATATATTAATTCAGGAAAACTTGGCTTATTAGGCAAATCGGGCCTTGCATAGTAGGCTGAGAAGTGCGTTCTGGCTACTAGGTACGACATATATATATATATATATATATATATATATATATATATATATATATATATATATATATATATATATATATATATATATATATATATAAAGCTTTTTCCAGGAGTGCCTCTGCCAGACGTACGAACACTGGCTGCGCTTCAAGATGCTCTTGGGTTTGGGTACACATTGGTGCTACTACGGCAGAGTCCTGGCGAGGCTACAGTTACCTCCCCAAGGGCCAGGCTGCCTCCTATGGCCCCAAGGCTCCTCACAAGGGCCAGGCTGCCTCCTGTGCCCCCAAGGCTCCTCACAAGGGCCAGGCTGCCTCCTATGGCCCCAAGGCTCCTCACAAGGGCCAGGCTGCCTCCTATGGCCCCAAGGCTCCTCACAAGGGCCAGGCTGCCTCCTGTGCCCCCAAGGCTCCTCACAAGGGCCAGGCTGCCACCTGTGGCCCCAAGGCTCCTCACAAGGGCCAGGCTGCCTCCCGTGCCCCCAAGGCTCCTCACAAGGGCCAGGCTGCCACCTGTGCCCCCAAGGCTCCTCACAAGGGCCAGGCTGCCTCCTGTGGCCCCAAGGCTTCTCACAAGGGCCAGGCTGCCACCTGTGGCCCCAAGGCTCCTCACAAGGGCCAGGCTGCCACCTGTGCCCCCAAGGCTCCTCACAAGGGCCAGACTGCCAACTGTGGCCCCAAGGTTCGTTACAAGGGCCAGGCTGCCACCTGTGGCCCCAAGGCTCCTCACAAGGGCCAGGCTGCCTCCCGTGCTCCCAAGGCTCCTCACAAGGGCCAGGCTGGTGGCCCAAGTCTATGTCTACTATGTATGGAATTTGACCATTATTGGACACGAATGGAGCGTCTTGGTGGAATTTGAGTAATAACCAAGGTGATGTTCTCACCTACATGTTCTTGCCGGGGTCGAGCCCCGCATTTCTTACCGCCGGTCAACTGATGTAATTACGTTTCTCGTCGTAATTAATTTTCAATTCCTCATTGTTCTTACCTCAATAATATTTTTGTACTACAAATTTTGTATCCTGCTTCCAAGTCTTTCACTTGTTTGCTAAGGTCGGTCCAGCAGCTCTGTGTCTCCGCTATTAATTCCCCTCAAACTTCCACTAGGTAAACCCAACCACTTGGGCTGGACGGTAGAGTGACGGCCTCGTTTCGTGCAGGTCGGCGTTCAATCCCCGACTGTCTAAGTGGTTGGGCACCGTCCCTTCCCATCGTCCCATCCCAAATCCTTATCCTGACTCCTTCCAAGTGCAATATAGTCTTAATGGCTTGGCGCTTTCCCATAATCATCATCATTCCACTAGGTAAGTGGTAGCGAAGTTACTTCTCAACCAAAAGGTACCGGGTCCGATTCCCGAGGCAGCACAGCGACGTTTGGCCACGGTTTCTTTCACCTGATGCCTCTGTTGACCTAGCACTAAATACGTACCCAAGAGTTTCTTTTACATCCTGAAAAAGGTCAGTAGATGGCCTAGTGAAATCTCTATAAGCTTAACGGGATTCCTGTACCCAAGAAACATCCTGAGGTCACGCCAGACGCAGGTTCGATCCCGCCACCCTGCTCCAAAGACTCTTTCATAGGTATATCACACTATAATTGTCATTTCCTTGTAATATCTTAAACTTTATCATATATTCCTTCTTTCTTCTTCTTCTCTGTGTAACCAAATTGCCTCAGTTATGCGCGGTTTCTCTCTCTCCGTTACTTGATAATTTTGCTTTTCTGTTAGCGTACACAACAGAAAACAGTCTCCATCTTTCAATATATATGTTTACAAAAATCTAAGTTACCCAAAACATTAATATGTATATTACCATAAACTTTAATATCTATATTACTGGAAACAAATACATAATATACGCTTGCTCAGTGACGAAAACTTGGCGTTACAATCACACAACAATGACACGCTGCAGGGAGGGGGGGGGACAAGTGTCAGGTAATGTAGTGCCAGACGCTCAGTGGTGGCACCCAGGATGGCACTCGGATTACCGCAACGTGACTAGGATGTAGTGATAGGGAGGAGAGGAGCGGCCCAAGTGTGGAGAAGAGAGGTAGAAGAGCAGGAAGATGGGGGTGGGAGAGTGAGAGGAAGAGGAGAAGGGTAGAAGGGAGATAGGAGGCAGAGAAACAAGGGTGGTGGGAAAGAAGGAAGAGGATTGAGGTGAAAGGAACAGGATGATGTTGGGAGGAGAATATAAGAAAAGAAAAAGGTTGATACCTGGTTGATGGGGTTCAAGGAGTACTTCTACTCCCCAAGCCCGGCCCGAGGCCAGGCTTGACTCGTAACCTAGGAAGACACTAAGAAATAAATAAGAGTGAATAGGGAGAGTTTATGATAAAGTGGTGTGTGAGAGAGAGGGGGGAAGAAGGGCTGTTAGAGTCACAGATGAATTGGTTCTGGCAGATAATGGTTATTTAACCCTCTCGAACGCCCCCCCCCCACCCCCCACGGCTTCCTCCCCACACCAAACTACTCATTACCCCCACACCTCCCCCACTCTCCCCTGCCTCTAATGACACAAACACGTCATTATGTATGCATGGGGTAGGGTAATTGTTGGCCAAAATGGCCGGCAGCGATCCAGCCACAATATAAATACTTCTATTGTTAATACAATCAAATTAAACTTGGTATTTATATTTGTATCTTATTTTAACCAACATTATTTCGGTTAATTTTTTTTCCACCACCACAATCATTCCTACGACCATCACCACCACCACAATCATTCCTACGACCATCACCACCACCACAATCATTCCTACGACCATCACCACCACCACAATCATTCCTACGACCATCACCACCACCATTACCCATTCCTCTACTAAAAAATGTAAGATCTCAAGTCTACAGCATGAAGGTCCATCACACTACGACCATCAGTACGACATCTGGCTCCCAACCTCTCACCCGGCATGCACGCTCCTGTGCATGCGAGCGTGCGTTGCCTGTGCGCATGCGAGCGGGCGTTGCCTGAGCGCACGTTGCCTGCGCGCATGCGAGCGTGCGTTACCTATGCCTATACCTATGCTTGCCTACAAAATACCCCTAAAAAAATTGTATTACTAACAAAATATTGTATGATTAAGAATGGCATAATAAAACCCATCAACTACAATACAAAAATTGCATGAAATAAATAAAAATGCATGTAATTCTTGTTTAATTTAATAGTTTTACCTTCCAATTTAATTTTTCCAGAACGAAAAAAATCTGAATCATTCAGAAGCAAGGTAAATTATATTACATTTCTACACAATTCGCCGTTCTTAAAAATCTGACAAACGCACAAACAACAGTGTATCATACACCCCTGTTCCACCCACACACACACACAGCTGCGGGTTCGATTCCCGGCGCCGGTGAGAAACAATGGGCAGAGTTTATTTAATCCTGATACCCCTGTTACCTAGCAGTAAATAGGTACCTGGGAGTTAATCAGCTGTCACGGGCTGCTTCCTGGTGTGTGTGTGTGTGTGTGTGTGTGGTGTGGGGAAAAAAGGCAGTTAGTAACAGTTGATTGACAGTTGAGAGGCGGGCCGAAAGAGCAGAGCTCAACCCCCGCAAGCACAACTAGGTGATAACAGCAAACCCAATTAACAGCACAAAACCTGTGAACCGAAGAGTAAGTTGAGACTCTCAACACCACAACCAACCATAAACCCCGCCCTTCAAATATTCCCTACACACACTTCCATAACCGACAACCAGAAAAAAAAACCCTCATTAATCCGGATAAGCTTCTCCCTCGAGTCCACTTCTGCAAACATTACCGCCCGGCTTGGAAAATGAGCTACAAGTCGCAGCTAAACCGAAGGCGAGCTTTAGTCGACATGTCGCAGCTAGAAGGCTGCTAGAAGGCAGCCATAGTCTGCAGCATCAGCTAGAAGGCAGCCATAGTCTGCAGCATCAGCCAGAAGGCAGCCATAGCCTGCAGCATCAGCCAGAAGGCAGCCATAGTCTGCAGCATCAGCCAGAAGGCAGCCATAGCCTGCAGCATCAGCCAGAAGGCAGCCATAGTCTGCAGCATCAGCCAGAAGGCAGCCATAGCCTGCAACATCACCTAGAAGGCAGCCATAGCCTGCAACATCAGCTAGAAGGCAGCCATAGCCTGCAACATCAGCTAGAAGGCAGCCATAGCCTGCAACATCAGCTAGAAGGCAGCCATAGCCTGCAACATCAGCTAGAAGGCAGCCATAGCCTGCAACATCAGCTAGAAGGCAGCCATAGCCTGCAACATCAGCTAGAAGGCAGCCATAGCCTACACGCATCAGCTAGAAGGCAGCCATAGCCTACAAGTATCAGCCAGAAGGCAGCCATAGCCTGCAACATCAGCCAGAAGGCAGCCATAGCCTGCAAGTATCAGCCAGAAGGCAGCCATAACCTACAAGCATCAGCCAGAAGGCAGCCATAGCCTGCAGCATCAGCCAGAAGGCAGCCATAGCCTGCAATATCAGCTAGAAGGCAGCCATAGTCTGCAGCATCAGCCAGAAGGCAGCCATAGCCTGCAACATCAGCCAGAAGGCAGCCATAGTCTGCAGCATCAGCCAGAAGGCAGCCATAGCCTGCAACATCAGCCAGAAGGCAGGCATAGCCTGCAACATCAGCCAGAAGGCAGCCATAGCCTGCAACATCAGCCAGAAGGCAGCCATAGCCTGCAACATCAGCCAGAAGGCAGCCATAGCCTGCAACATCAGCCAGAAGGCAGCCATAGCCTACAACATCAGCCAGAAGGCAGCCATAGCCTACAACATCAGCCAGAAGGCAGCCATAGCCTACAAGCATCAGCCAGAAGGCAGCCATAGCCTGCAAGCATCAGCTAGAAGGCAGCCATAGCCTGCAAGCATCAGCTAGAAGGCAGCCATAGCCTGCAACATCAGCTAGAAGGCAGCCATAGCCTGCAACATCAGCTAGAAGGCAGCCTTAGCCTGCAACATCAGCTAGAAGGCAGCCATAGCCTACACGCATCAGCTAGAAGGCAGCCATAGCCTGCAAGCATCAGCTAGAAGGCAGCCATAGCCTGCAACATCAGCTAGAAGGCAGCCATAGCCTGCAACATCAGCTAGAAGGCAGCCATAGCCTTCACGCATCAGCTAGAAGGCAGCCATAGCCTGCAAGCATCAGCTAGAAGGCAGCCATAGCCTGCAACATCAGCTAGAAGGCAGCCATAGCCTGCAACATCAGCTAGAAGGCAGCCATAGCCTGCAACATCAGCTAGAAGGCAGCCATAGCCTGCAACATCAGCTAGAAGGCAGCCATAGCCTACACGCATCAGCTAGAAGGCAGCCATAGCCTACAAGTATCAGCCAGAAGGCAGCCATAGCCTGCAACATCAGCCAGAAGGCAGCCATAGCCTGCAAGTATCAGCCAGAAGGCAGCCATAGCCTACAAGCATCAGCCAGAAGGCAGCCATAGCCTACAACATCAGCCAGAAGGCAGCCATAGCCTACAAAACGGAGAGGAAGGCAGGTACAATATTGGTTTGCTTACCCCGACATCTTTACCTAACCAATGAGCCGCTATACAGAGCAGCCCTTGTCTCATGAACCACCTTGTTCCACTGGTTGAAGCCTAATACCATCTGGAGTAATGACATTATAAGCCTTCAATTATTTCAATCAATAACAGAATCATGCTATTATCTATCTCTAATACCATCCACAAATTCCAGACGTAAACCAGAAAACTTTGATTTTGATGGATAAATCAAAATTGATTGATTTTGTATGTATGTATATACACAAAAGTGTATAAGTTTAGTATACAGATATGACTGCCCGCCGTCTAAGGTTTCCATGCCCGCATTCACAACATACACCCGGGTGTGTATGGAGAGATTTTTGACCAATAAATACACCCATTGTTCAGTCTTTTCCTCGTCCTCCTCCATGTATAGTGTATACAGACTTCTAACGAACGCTGACATGCGCACACGCATGGGCACGCACGTGCACACAGTGGTGTATATCTCGGTGATATATTTTGTTAGGATAAATAACAGCAGCCTTCTGAAATCTTGAAAATAATACAAGTAATTTGATTGCACGTACGTGAGACCTCTGATATAGCACGCAGCTCCTGCAAGGATCACTCGCCAAAGAAAAAAAACTGACAAGATAACTAATCAGGAGACGACTCGTGGAACATCTGTTCAACACCAACATGGACTTAGTGTCAATTAAGATGGAGGTGATAATGACTGATTACCTGTTAGGATTTCTGTGACAAGATGAGTGAAACAAAAGAAATAAGAGGACAGTCACTCGGCTTTCGACTCACTGTCGGTCGGAAGAACGTAATGCGCACCCAAGAGTTCCTGGAGATGTGCTTGGGTGGGTAAGAGTCTCTCTCGTATGGGAAACAGAACGCCACAGTGTGAGTGGAGGCCTGAAGATAGAACAGGGAAAACAAGATAAGTTAGCCCCAACAGCTAGTCAGGATGAAGTGAAGATAACGTCCCTTATCAAACAAGGATCTGATAGTCAATTTAACACCTGATCTGATGCCGGAAGAGCACATTTGTAAAGTCACACATTTACAAAGTATTCACAACTATTTATACAACCTATGTCAGACCCTTCTCTGAATATGCAGCTCCGACATGGAGTCATCACCAAAAATAAATCTAAGAGTCCAAAGGTGTTCAACGGGAAGAAAAGACTCGGCAAATCCTCACTACACAACGTTAGAAGAGAGAAGTTGGCTATAACACGCTGCCACATAAATTATCGGACTCCTACAGAGTGGACAAAGACGCAATAATAGTTACGAAAAGTTGGGAAACAAGGGAAGAAGGCGTTTGGGAAACACGATAAACAGTCTTGAAAGAAATAGAAGATAGAATCGAGTTGCTGCACGAACTCCATTAGCTGGAAAAGCAGAATTTAGGAACTGAAGTTCGATCCTGCATGTACCCAGACGTACACATACAGCACATACAGGCTAGGTTAGTACGTGCACAGGCTCCGGCACGCAAACGCGCACACTAAACTATACACTGAGTATACACAGCGCCCTGACAAAGAGAAGAGTAAAGTTTAGTCTAGGAGGAAAGTTTTGTATAATTCAGCCACCCCTCCCTCCCCCCATCCCTTCCACTCCCCCCCATCCCTTCCAAACCCCTCCCCCATCCCTTCCACCCCCCTTCCCCCATTCCTTCCACCCCCTTCCGGCAGAGTTCTCTGTGTGCATGTCTTAGTGGAGGGGGGCATGGGTGAGTGGGACAGGAGTAGGGGGGGAACCAGAGAGGGACGGAGGGAGGGAGGAGCTGATTGGGGAGGTGGATAGGGGGGGGGGGGAGCGGGGAGGGTGCGAAAAGAAAAGTCGAAGACTAAAATCAGGAAGAGGAGAAGACGAAGCTAAAGTAGAACCAAGAAAAGAAAGGAGGGAGGAGGAAGGACAGACCTGCACTCGGGTTATCGTCGAACGGGACGAGACGTGAAGTGATTCCAGGGTGAAGGAAGAGCCAATATATCCCCCCACCACCTTACCACATATCCCCCCACCACCACCACCTTACCACATATCCCCCCCACCACCACCACCTTACCACATACCACCGACCTTTAAACACACCAATGACACACTGACATTACAAGAAGAGAGACAATTGCAAGACTGCAAGACTGCAAGACTGCTAAGACTGCAAGACTGCAAGACTGCAAGACTGCAAGACTGCAAGACTACAAGACTGCAAGACTGCAAGACTGCAAGACTGCAAGACTACAAGACTGCAAGACTGCAAGACTGCAAGACTACAAGACTGCAAGACTGCAAGACTGCAAGACTGCAAGACTGCAAGACTGCAAGACTACAAGACTGCAAGACTGCAAGACTGCAAGACTGCAAGACTACAAGACTGCAAGACTGCAAGACTGCAAGACTACAAGACTGCAAGACTGCAAGAGGTTGCATGTCTCCGTTCCATCTGGTGGCCAGAGGTGATAATGGTTATAGTATCTGGCAAGTTCCCTGCCAGATTCTTGCCTGCAGTCACTCATGCGCTCAGTAAAGTTTACCTAAAAGTAAAATAATTTAATAAAGAGCTTAAGCAATTCAGTAAAAGGATAAATATAGTAATAACGAAGTCAATTAAAATGAACATGAGGATATTTAATTTTTTTTAATGGCTAAAATCGACCAAGTTGTATACGCAACAGAAAGTCAACATTTGCGACAATCTCGATTTAAAAATTAAAAAAATACAAGTTTAATATTACACCAAAATCCTTTGGGAAATATTTACTTGTAGGCTATGAATATTAAAGCTTTAGTGGCACCTTTGTCTCTGGTGCGAACTTGGCCTTAAAACTTCATTGCGAAACATCGTGAAGTTAGCTCACGGTATCAAACACCTAATCTAGTTGGAGATCTATTTAACACACACCCTGTTGAATATTACCATGTTGTATTCTACCATGTTGTATACCACAGTATTCTCAAGACTCAAATGTAATGCAGGCGATGAGTCACAATAACGAGGCTGAAGTATGTTGACCAGACCACACACTAGAAATTGAAGGGACGACGACGTTTCGGTCCGTCCTGGACCATTCTCAAGACTTGAGAATGGTCCAGGACGGACCGAAACGTCGTCGTCCCTTCAATTTCTAGTGTGTGGTCTGGTCAACACTCAAATGTAATGTTATCGATAAGAGTATGGGTGTATGTGTGTGGGGGGGGGGGGTTGCGTGAGTCCCTGAGTGCGTGTTTTTTATGTTTATATATCTATATATACCCAGTGAGTAGGTGGCATATAGACATGGTTCAAAAGCCACTGAGAAGACTCCCTTCACAGCGTCTTACTAATATCAACACTCAAATTTTAAGCAATAGGTTTTAAATTGTGGTCTGAAAACAGAGTGTTTCACACTGCCGCACTCCTGGCCAACATAAGTCAAAATCTTAACGATACGGTTAAATTGCTTCCAAATAAAGTTTCTGATTCCACAAAGGCATTAAGTGCATAGATACACCAGGCCTACCAATAGATACACCAGGCCTACCAATAGATACACCAGGCCTACCAATAGATATACCAGGCCTACCAATAGATACACCAGGCCTACCAATAGATACACCAGGCCTACCAATAGATACACCAGGCCTACCAATAGATACACCAGGCCTACCAATAGATACACCAGGCCTACCAATAGATACACCAGGCCTACCAATAGATACACCAGGCCTACCAATAGATACACCAGGCCTACCAATAGATACACCAGGCCTACCAATAGAAACACCAGGCCTACCAATAGATACACCA